AATCATGAGTAATGTTGTTTATGCACCTTCAAAGTGAGTCTCTTTATGTGTATATTCAATGAATTAATATTAAAATACATCAGAGATCAAATAACCAATGTAAAGATTTAGTAGTTTATATCTTTTATAGATATTTGCTTTTATACACTAAGCTACATGTACTTCAATATATTATATAAGCTGTAATATATTATACACTGCATACTAGTGTATTACAAGACAGCAATGGCTTATTGCAGCTAAACTGCATTACAAAATGGCAATTCTAAACTCAGTTGCTTTCCATTGAAATTCTGTTGACATGGATGATATAGCGACCATAAACTCCTTTTGAATGGCAATAATAGAATGACCAAGAAATAGTGCATTTCACTATTGAAATAACATTATGCTGTCTTTCTCTTTATTCAGTATTCAACATTTTCTGTAATATTGCTGTATTCTTGTTGAATTCTCCATTCCATCATATTGTTTTGTTTCAGGCAAAAACTAGTCATCATGACACAAGTCTGTAAGCAAACTGTTGCCAAGGTAAGCAGAACATTACTAGACTATGTGTTACCAAATTGTTGTTGTTGTGCTTACATTTCATTGTTTTATATAACTATTTTTAACTCCCTAAAATTTGAGTGAATCATACCCATTGTGAACCAGATTATGGCAGAGTGTTTTAGATATTAGGGAACTTCAGATTTGACAACAAGTACAAGATTGAGTACAAGTATGAGCTTTAAAATTGGTCCTAAGTGTCCTATTAATCATGAATTGCATTCCTATGAATAGATTAAAACATCAAAAAAATAAAAATACKRAGTGGAWTGAAATCCAGTTTGGACAACACAATAAAAGCTGGTTTAAAAACTCGTACTCGTACTCAATTTTGTACTCGTGGCCAAATTTATTCCCYATTATATTGAACATACTGGTAATTAATGCTATATTCTCATTGATATTTATGGTCATTGTTACAGTGTATGTCTTTGTAATTATATTTTTAAAGGCAAGTGATATTTATTCTGGAAGTGATGTCAAGATTCACAGGTGTCATTATTCCTACATTTACATTCTGTGCCCTTTAAGGTAAGTGTTTCTTTCTGTTAATATTATTAGCTTWTGTGACGTGATACAAAGAATCATTGTGATTAATAATTGACAAACAAGGCTCTTCCTTGAGGGAGATGAATGACATGACGAGGATTTCAAAATCTGCTATATCACACAAGCTGAGGATGAGGCTCTTTTCAGAAATAGTTATTATAATTATCTGGTCCTTTATAATATGGGTGTGAGTGGTGGTCACTTGATGCCGCATACACATGGATACTGTATAGATGAAATGTAGAAATATATGCAGCTCAGCTTTGACTGATGATGATGATGATAATAATGATGTTGATGACTCTTCCACCATAACATTGAGCATGCAAAATAAATTAAAAAGATGATTGACTGATTAATTGTTTACTTAAAAATCCTATTTTGTCTTTAGTACTAAATATATTTAATACCATTTATTTGTTACCATCTTCAGATCAGTGACAATCCAAAGGTGTCATAATTCAACTATAGTACTAGGATGTGTGAAGACAGTGGTCCATATTATTGGTTGTGAAAATGTAACATTTATCATGGTATCAAATAGAGTTGCTATTAGGTAAAGAGAGCAATAACAATGTCTACTAGATGGTATGCTTTTATTGATGTTAATTTTTAGTTAAAATTAAAAATTAAAAATTAACATCAATAAAAGCATAAAGCATCTTGATGCTAGAGCAAGGAATTATAYTTGAAAACGTTCTATGATGACATTGTCCCCTGTTCCAACTAGTAGTGGTAGTGCAACTGCATTAAATTTATAGATGATCATTGATCTTAGATTGATAGATAATTGTGAATACCTAATAATTGTCTAAGAGTTTGAAAGAAGTTTTTCTTTGCATGTTTAATTGGTCATCTCTCTTCAATGCAGAGGCACAGCCTGCTAACTTTCAAGATATTTCAGGGAATCATTAAGTAAAGGAAACTATTGATAACTACACTAAGAAACACAAGCCTTGATATTCTTTAATTAATGAAATTTGTTTATCTAGCGGGTGTGTCAACTGTACATTCCATTTATGCTGTCCTATGCAGCCACTTATTCTTATGGAGAATGAAAATATTACATTAGCACCATATCACACCTTTTACCCAAAGCTAGAAGATCATCTGAAAAGCTCATGGGGTGTAAGAACTATACCGAATGAATGGAATAATCCTTTACTGCTGGGTAGGTTGATAGTAGCAATTCTATGTCTCGTTTTTAGTATTATAACTATATGGCATATTCTATGCAGCCAATTGCTTTTCTTAGAATTGTGGCATTTTACTGGAAACATTCATTTTGTCACAAATGAGTAAAATAGAACATGACTAGATTTTGGAGAACATCAAAGAATAGTGCAGCAGCTGTAAAATAATTGTTTTAGCATACAATGCAATATCACTTTTTTATGTTACTAATTTAGAGTGCAAATGCTAATAGTCTAGCACTAGTTGAAGTCATTAACCTGAAACAAAACTCATCCATTACAGAGTGATAGTCAAATGGATACAAAACAAATAMTTCATTTGGATTTATTGCAAGTTTATTTATTTTTTACCAAATACTGCAATATACAGCCTTTTGCAAAAATTATGAGAATTGTCTAAATATCTAAATATCTAAATATCATAATATCAATTGCATGATGGGTAATCCCACGCGATTCCCGTTTGTCCTTTGTCTGTGTAGTTTAGTTTTTTTCGGCGGTGACGGACTTATCCTTAGTTCTGAACATTTTCTCGATGTCAACAATGAATTATTCTAGCAAACCCGCGTRTTCTGGACAATATATGGATATGTATATTATGATATTTAGATATTTAGACRATTCTCATAATTTTTGCAAAAGGCTGTRGTGTATAACAAACAATATAAAAGAAACAAGAGAATTTCATGATTCAATACCATTGATTACTAAAGGTTTGTCATGATTTTAGTGTTTGCACTCTACTTAAAGAAGAATATTATTTCTTCCCTCAAGAGTGTATGTAGTGAACCTAAAATTGAAGAAAAGCATGCCTTATGGATCTAAAATGTATTTTCACCAATTTTCTCTGTGTATTTCAGGCAATGGTAATCAAGATGTTGATAGCAGCCCAGCCATTTACCGTGAATTACCGATACATGAATTTTTCACATTCAATATTCCATTTAGTCTGAAAGGTTCTACAGATGTAAGTACGCATTGTGAAGGAAAAATAATTATTGTGCATTAATTAATTAAAAAAGTAGTCAAGAGTGTTTGTTGCATCTACTGATTCAAAACATGGTGGACAATTTGAATAACAATTGCTGGAAATTTTATAGCTACTCTATCCATGGAAACATCTTTTGTATTGCTACTTGAGCAAGAGCTATATTATTTTTTAATTATTTTTTTGTTCTATTTTTGAAGGCATCTCCAATCCCACTACCCTTAAAATATGAACAAGCCCTACAGGAGCGAGAAGAGTAAGTTGATTTTTTACCAAAAATAGTGGCAAAACATGCTGTTTTGTTGTCTTTGAACAAGTTCTGGTGATTCTGATTGTATTGTTAAGAGTTTAATTGATGTTTTCCATGCAGTGCCATCAATGGTTGGTACCAAATGGTGAAGAACTCTACCCTTTCCAAGCCTCAACGACAACAACTTCAAAGCGTGGTTCAAAACAGATTTCAGGTACTACCGTATGCTGAGTGTTTTAATCTAAAATTCCCTGTTCTCATATTAAATTTAATGTCAACAAAACTTCACGGCTGCAACAGTACTTCACGACAACTTTACTATCAGGATTTACCAAAAATGCAATTAACTCTAGTTGTTTTTTCTTAAAAAAATAATAATGTACATGCACGCTGTTCTTGTCTATTATTTCACTGAGAAAACCTCTGAGCACATCTTGTGCACTTTATGTTAACCTTTTCCATTAGTATTTTGTATTTTTAAGTCATTGAAGAGCCTAACTATTTCTTGCATTATGTCTACAGTAATAAGCTCAATAAATTATTTGGATTACTGCTCATTCTTTGAATATGTTCTCATATTATGATAAGACTAAGCCCTTGTTATTTTAAATAATTGTCAGGACTGGTTAGCTGAAAGTGGTGAAGCAAGTCAACTCAATGGATTAGTCCCATCACATTCACCTAAACATGCGCAGGAATCAACAAAACATTAAATTAGGTAGCTTCACGTCTGGTATAGTAACTGCAAGTTTTACACACCAACATTTATATCATTAAATCCATGATGTTGATTAGCGAGCAATAATAGTCTTGACATTGTTCACTTTTCTGATGGAATCAAGTTGGGGGCAAATTTTGAACCTGAAATGTTTAGAAGGGCCTGAGATGGAACTATTTTTGCCTTACTAGAGTACACTGTGAATAAAATGATATTACTTGAATATTCTATTGTTAAAAGCCCAGAAGTATTATTCTTTTTTGACCTGAAAGAGCTCTTAAATACAAATAAGATGTATTTGACAATGTAGGCAACACCTTGTAAAATGAACAATCAACTTTAAATTCAGGGGATGCGATAATTGTATTGAATGCATTCAGGGTTTATAAAGGCGGATTTATATGGTATAATTGTCACGTGCGACTTGCAGTATGTGACTTTCCTGCGACAAGTCATAGATTGTGTATGACTTTTGTAGGCAAGTGATTTACATGGCATGATTTGGAGCTCATTTGTGTTGAGTACTATGAGTCTCATGCAACAATTGTACCCTATAAATCAGGCCCCTAGATATACACAAAATTAAAGTACATTCTAAAGTTTTAACACTAGATGCTTAACTGAAAAATGTATATTTGATGAGAGAAAGTGCATTATCTTGTAAATATTATTAATAATTCAACTGTAAGTGTTACTGAATAAAAATGTTCAAACAATACAACTAGACAAGTAAGCTTAACAAATGTGTKTCTCATAATAGTGAACTTGTAATGATAAAAACATTCCCACAACAATCAATAACTAAAGGTAGCCAAGCCGTTGCATCAATGAGAAAAATGAGTTGAGCCTGCCGTAATAGAAACCGTTTGCTGTAAGACAGTTATTCACASGTATCAATTATTGCAGGCTCACCTAGTTGTCTTGACTGATTKTAAAAGCACATCTRTTACCTAACAAGATGATACAGGGAGCTATCAAGAAGACTATTGTGCACTCATGAAAACAAAGTTATCACTTATGAAAACATTTAGAGACCCAAGAGACCAAAAACCTGGTTTTGATTCTTAGAAGATAAAACAATCTCTGTTGAAAAGTGTACTTTCTTCCCAAATGCATAATGCTATTGGAAAATAAATTTACTAAACTGACCACGTCTTGCGTCAGTATGACCGCCGGTGTTAAAGTGAGAGGTAGCAAACGAAATATTAACATCATCATGATGGATCTCCCTTTTACCATTCAAGCCATGGTAGGAACAAGGGCCATTTATAATAGCTTTAACAGTGTAACGGCAGCCTTGCACAAGTCTCACTGGTCTTTCAAAACAAACATCAAATCCATAATACTCTCCATTCATTGGTACTTTATCTGTTTCAACAGTTCTGTTTGCTCTTGAGATTAGGTCGTCAGAACCACGTCTGTACAGGGTTAGGGTTAGGTCGTCAGAACCACGTCTGTACAGGTCTAGCTGGACAACATAACTAGAACCCTTACTTCCAAACAGCTCAACACCAGCCAGATAAACACTTTGACTTACAAGAAAGTCAACTGCATCCACTCGCTTTCCATCGTACCAGATTGACTTTTTGGCGGGGGCATTAACAGACGAAAAACGACTTTCCGTTTTACGTTTTCTGATGTCTCTTCCCTTAGAAGAATACATACATGTAGCTGTTTCAACAAAACTYATAGCCTGAGTGATTTCAATGACTTCTTTCATTGTAAGGATCTCTGTTGGTAGCACATTCATCGAAAACTCTTTAAGGGACATCAATGGGAATCTAATCAATTTCATAACATCTTCTCCAAGAGCATCTCTCATTGTTTTTCCACATCCCTCAAGCTCCTTTTCCCTCATCCTCATGTTTCCCCATCTGTTTACAGCAAGAAACAAATCCACTTCCTTTATTGTAAGCTCATCTCTTGCTAGAATTTGGCAAAGGGTATCACTGGACAATTGCAAAAATGAACTCGAGGTAACTACTGCCAAGGTTTCACAATCTATGATCTCCCAGGAGCGTTTCTCTATCCTTTCATCACATATTTCTTTTATTTTTGGAAGAACAGTCAAAACATGTTCCGGTTTAAGGTATTTATCTATGTGTTCTTTGCATTTCTCAACCAGAAACGGCATCATGTACTTTTCTGCAACGTAAAGAACTTCAACAATGTTATTTTCAGTAAGTCTCACTTCTTCACAGTGCACGTAGCGAAGCATTTCGTAAATGCCTTGTTTGCTACAGTCTGGCAAGTCAATAGTTGATGTTTTCTCTGCTAAATGACCATAAAACATAGCAGCAAACACAGGACTCGCTGTAGCAAGCATGAATTTATTGGCGGAAATGGTGACCTTGACGCCAGATTCATCTACCACAGAAAACTCAACATCGCAAAATAAAGAATTCTTGAAAACATACTCAAACCGTTCTTTGGGAGTAGAAAGAGTGGTTTGCCAGTTTGTTGATTCCATGAATACTTTTTAAATGAACAGAGACCAGAAGGGGACCAGAATGAACAAGTCGAAAATAGTAGTCTTTTACCAGGCGTTCCAAACTGCAAGGGTCGATGGGACCACAGGCAACCCAAACTAAGGATTGGCTAGTGATTTAGCGACACCTACCTATAATGCATGAAAATGCATTCAAATGTGAAATATTTTAATGAAAAAATAAGTAAGTTTATAACCAAATCACAAAGTAAGATATTTTTTAAATTACTCCTCATTCAAAAATTTCATATTTATAACATGCATTTTAGATGATTTTCGCTAAATCAGCAAAAAAATGCTTAGCTTGGGCTCTTGTGACGTGACATCGAACTGAAAAGGAATGGGTCCCCACGTGGACACAACAAAGAGATAGTACAATAAAACTATATATTTTATATTATCATTTTAATAATAAAGGTCTCGCTCAATTTCAATGCAGAGGGATTCTGGACGAACGCTTGAAAGACAACAAAAATTCTCTCATCCGATGACCTGCCAAACATGACGAGGGATTAGTCACTATAAGACAAAGGTGTAAACTTCTTTTCCTTTAAGTCTACTTTATTCAGACAGCTTCCTACGATTATGTCGGCGTAGGYTATGTTTRAATTTTTGCGAGGTCCTCTGGCCTATCGTTACTCAGTTTACCTCAAACGCTCCAGAAAACTACTGCCCCTCACTGAGCCCGCGCATCGCCCTAAATACTGGGGAACCCCGCCCACAATTCCCGGGAGACGGGAACACAGGGAACCCACGCACTCTACAT